GACGGGTTTGTAAAAGCCGGGCACACGGTAACCGGCAGCAGTGGAATTTGAGCAATGAGTGCACCGATTGGCGTGCGCGGACGCATGCACTGCATGAGGTCGGGAGGGGGGGGGGCAATTTGTCCTTGTTTCTTAGTTGAAAGGAGAAGGGAGTGGTCGTGAAATTTCTCACTCTCTCGCTCGCCCATGCCACTGGCTGCCAGAAGGGCCCCCCGCTGGAGGGATATTTGCTCCTCTTTTCCACGCTGGATTACGGGACCAGCTGTGTGCCAGAGCTGTAAACACCGCTCTTGACGAGCAGCACCCCTTCTTTTCTCAGTTGAAAAAAAAAACTATAAACAAACGTTACGTTTATTGCTCCAGACATGCATGTACACTAGCGGGGGAAGAAAAAAAACTAGCATCGATTTATACCGCGCGAAAGAAGTTCTACATAAGCTCCATTTGCTTATTTTATTCAGTTACCGGGAATGGAAGAAAAAAAAGCAAGCCTTGTACATCCCTAGCACCAACTGGATTGCTTTGTACAGTCCCGGTTCTCCACCTTGTGTGATTGCTGAATCTGTACACCTTTGGTGTGGTGCAGGGTTCTGCGTACGGCTCCCATTGCATCGCCATAAATAATGTGCCGTGCTATGTATCTGCAAACCTCCGATTAGCACGGTTGGCTACGTATGGTGTGCAAGAAGGTCAACATGCTTCCCTACATATGTACAAATTGCAGGGAAATATAAAGTTAGTTTGCGGATAATCAAAAGAGCGTTCCAGCCGATGAGTTGATTGCAGAAATTGCGGACATCATCGTGTGTGGACGAGAGCGGTATTCCGCCATGTTCGCAGCGAGTGAACTTCAACGGCCTAGCGACGTACGTGGAGCGACGGCACAGAGCGTGGCCTTGGAGATGGGGATATTGCAGGCCTAGGGGCACTACGTCATGATGAGCTTCCACTTGGGGATAGCGCATCCCCGTTTCACATCGAAGCGAGCTGCTCATGAATTATATAAGGCCATTAACAGCCAGGAAATTGACTTTGGGGAAACATGCAACGCCAAGTTATCCCTTGTAATAATAAGAATGAATAATGCAGTGGTTTTGTATCCGTGCCACTCACGACGCGGGGGCTATAGTCACGATAGGCGCCGCTGTGGTTCAACCCATGGGGCACGGTCTGCAGCAGTTTGACGGCAGGCGAGGGGGGGGGGCGATGTTCCTGCAGCGCGTGGATCCAAGTTTGAGTAATGGCGTGGGCAACATTGGAAATTTTTAAATAAAACTGGACGTTGATGCTGCTACGCAGTGGCCTGCTCGCTTGGAAGGACCGTCGGTTGATCTTTAATGTCCAGTGTGAAGCAGACCATGCGCTGTATTTGACGGTTTGTTTGCACCGTGCTGTATCAACCAGTGCGGGGTCAGCGCAGTTCGAACCGCGAACCTCTGCAACCGACCGCCGTAACTTCCCCCGTGTTCACAGTCCCTTGTACGCGGACCCTGATTGGACGCGCCGCTTTTCATTAATATATATATATACAGGGTGCTTTAAAAAAAATTCTAACACTTCTGAGAATTTGCAACAATACCACAAGAAACGTGCCTGGAGAAGATTCCAGGCATGCGTTGACAATGATGGCGAGCAAGTGGAGACTCTTTGACTTTTTGAAGTTATTAACATGCATTTTCTATCACGTTACAGTGTATAATCCGTTATTTTTTTCATTAAAGACGATAGTCCCATAGAAGCGTTAACAAAGTTGAAGTATCCTTTATAGTTTCAAAAGTTTCCGCAGTGAAAGACAACATTGATAGATCACGTTTCCTGTGTGCTACTCGCCAGAACTTATCAGCTATAAAACTAAAACTATAACTATGTTTTTGTTTTACCAGGTAAGGCCCCACTGAGCAATATAGCTCTTTTTCAGAAGTGACCTGGCTATCACAATTGATAGCTTAACAAAATGGCTTATTTTGTGGAAATCCATAGCAGCCCAAATACTCTAAACGCGTGATTTTGATTCTAAATTTGGAAGGCAAAACCGGAGTACCCGGAGAAAAATCCATGCGACCACGGGGAGAGACGCACAAACTCCAAATATACAGCGGCGTTAGGGTCATGATCGAATCCACGACCTCCTGTATACGAGGTGAGGAAGTTAACATCACGTAGCCACCGCGAGACGACAGCCGATGGATGACATTGGTGGCGGAATGGCAGACAAAGGGTAACGCGTTGGAGAGGACGGCCACCGTAGAGATGGAGCAGGGAGACCGGCTCGTGCGCAGGAGTGACATGGGCTGTGTAGCATCGTCGTGGGATCGAGAGGCGGGCTTTTATACGGCAGGTGGATAGACCACGGCTAACAACGAAGACAATGTGCAATTCTCGAAAGCATGGTACTGTACTTGCAAGCTCATGGCCGTGAGGTGGAGCGGCAAGCAAGGTGAGTGGATGATAATAATGATGGGAGGTTTGGTCTACGCTGCCGTCACGAACCGCTCCGTTTGCGCGGGTGGAGACATGCGGGAGGGATCGTGCAGCGTCTTGCCGTCTCTTCGCAAGTGCCGCCGCCCGACGGTTTTGATGGGCAGAGCGGCCGCTCCGCACGTTTATTCTGCCTGCCCGGCGGTTCTCAAACTGTGTTTAGGGCACCGCGGACCACTCGGCCAATGCAAACGTTTCCACAGACCACTCCCAGCCAGCCGGCCCTGGTGATAAAACGCATTCACTCATCTCTTTCAATGCCAGTCAATTTTTATATTACCGGGAACATAAAAAATACATTATGCAGCTATAAGGTTTTTTAGGGGGGGAAAGGACATTTAGGGTCAGTATCTCCATCTGTGTGCTGCTCCATAGCAGTGTGAACCACTGCCTTGTAGAGTATCTCCCTCTGTGTGTTACTCAATAGGTGTGTGAACCACTGCCTTGTAGAGTGTCTCCCTCTGTGTTACTCTCTAGCTGTGTGAACCACTGCCCTGTAGAGTATCTCCCTCTGTGTGCTACTCTCTAGCTGTGTGAAACACTGCCTTGTAGACTATCTCCCTCTGTGTGCTACTCTCTAGCTGTGTGAACCACTGCCCTGTAGAGTGTCTCCCTCTGTGTGCTACTCTCTAGCTGTGTGAACCACTGCCTTGTAGAGTATGTCCCTCTGTGTGCTACTGTCTAGCTGTGTGAACCACTGCATTGTAGAGTATCTCCCTCTGTGTGCTACTGTCTAGCTGTGTGAACCACTGCCTTGTAGAGTATCTCCCTCTGTGTGCTACTCGCCAGCTGTGTGAACCACTGCCCTGTAGAGTGTCTCCCTATGTGTGCTGCTCTATAGCTGTGTGAACCACTGCCCTGTAGAGTATCTCCCTCTGTGTGCTACTCTCTCGTGGAGTGAATGGCTGCACTACTGCGTTTTTGCTCGCATATCCACCAGCCCAACCTCGTAGTCGTCTTTCTTGAGTTCATTTCCATCGGACGTTATAGTGGCGGGGTCGGCTAATCCGATACAGATGATGCTTCCCCCCCCCCCCTTCAACAATTATAAACCACCTTTTTTTGTCGGCAACTCTTTTTGAAATAATTATCTTCCAAAGTCGCCCAAATATAACTCGTTAAAAGCGTTGACAGGTCGCCCTCGGCGCACCGGCACAACGCGAGTCTCGGTTCGTCACGTCGTTACCCAACGAATCAGAATCAGAACCTTGGTGTCGACTGGCAGAGGGAGAATATCAAGAGCCATTAAGCTCTTCTTTCACAGATGTCCAATAAGGGGGCCGCGGGGGGGGGGGGGGGTCAGAGAGTTACTACAACAAACGATACAAAAACCGATAGGAGTGCAAAGTTTAGGAAAGGTGGTAAGCAAGTCACCTAAAAAGTTAAAAAGTTACTTGTTACTGAGTAATGTGGAGAGGTTTTCTTTCAGCGTTTGGGATGTTTGGCCTATACCAGGTTACATTGTACGTTCTGTTTTCTGTGCTCAACAATGTCATTCTCCGAATCTTCGTGAATAATTAACGTGTGTGTGTGTGCGCACGTGTACGAGAGGCTAACGCGCGTGGGGGGGCCTGCAGTCCTTCGAGTCGGTCGTATCACCGATTAGCATGGTTGGCCACGTGCGGTGCGAAAGAAGTTCAATGTACTTGCGTGTATCGCCCTTGTGGCATGCCGTGTTGAAATCTGGTTTTCACCGGCAATGCACGGCAGTGCTATGAAGCCAAGGGCATTCAAATATGTGTTTACAATCGGCAGAAATGAACACTCGCATACCGTGTCCTCAAGTGTGCCCCCTTTTCCATGAGGTATGTGGCTCTCCTCGCGGTCCCACTGAAGTTTGCCTGCACTGCCAGACGTTGTGGGGCACATGTAAACGCATTTGGCGGTATGCACCGGCGGTGGTACGCTGCATAAATAAATAAAGCACCCAATAATAATTTATTTTCCCGCGATTGCCAAACCCCCCCCACCGCTCCGGTCAGAAAGTCTTCCGGTGGTGGTGGTGCTGCGCTCAAAATCGGTTCTCGTGATGTCGAAGAAGTCGCAAGATGAATGTTTACATGAGCGGCTGTAACACGAAGCTTTTTGTCTCGTTTTGTCGTTGAGCGTGAAGATAACGGTTGCTACGTGGGCCAGCTGTGAATCGCTGTGCGTTGCGTGTTTTTTTTACGTGCGTGTCGTAAGCGTACCCAGAATTGAACCGTAGAGCTGATGCGTTGCTCCTCGTCGGGTCGTGATTGAGAATGGACGTTGACAGAATCTAGAAACGTACCAGGGGTTGGCGTTCCTGAAATTTATATCTTTCTAAATAGGGCCTTTGCATTAATAATCGTCACTGAATAGATAATCGTCACTTGTGTTGGCCATGAGCGGGAATTGAACTTGGGTCACCGGGTTTGTAGCGCAGCGCGCTAACCACTACACCACCACTCCACACGCACTCGCACACACGCACGCACTCGCACACACTCGCACACAGAGACGACAGCTGACGGTCTGCCTCTGCTGCTGTGCACACACAGGATGAGACCGGAGCGTTCCTGCTCGACCGAGACCCGGCCTACTTCAGCACCATCCTCAACTACCTGCGGCACGGGAAGCTCATCCTCAACAAGCACCTCACGGAGGAGGGTGAGCCGTCACGATCATCGTCGCTCACGCGCTCACTCGCTCACACGCTCACACGCTCACGTACTCGTGTTATGACGCGCTCACATGCTCAAATGCTGACGCGCTCACACGACAAAATTATTCGGCTCCGCTTGCTTCACCACTGCCACACTCCGATCATCTCCCCTCTCAGGCCTCAGAGCAAAGGGGTGGACATTTCAATGGTGCCACGGTGTCTGAGATGTTAACTCCCTCGTTTGGTATGAAGGAGGTCGTGGGTTCAATCCCCCGACCCCTAACGCCTGCTGTGTATGTGGAGTTTGCGGTGTCTCTCCCCGTGGTCGCGTGGATTTTTCTCCAGTTTTTCCCTTAAGTTTAGAATCAGCATCACGTGATTAGAGTATTTGGCTGCTGCCGTAAATGTTCACGTGACAAGCCACTTCGTAGAGCTATCATTTGTGATAGCCAGGTTGCTTCTGAAAATGAGCTGCTACATGGCTCAGTGGGCCTTACCCTGGTAAAATGAAAAATGGTTTAGTTTTATTTCGGTAGAGATTGTTACCTTGTGTGAACTGGAGGTAAATTATTAATAATTTTTATATAATTTAGATTTAATGGATACCCTCATAAAACAAGACAGGGGAATATCCAAGTAAAATATCTTAATTCAACAAAATAAGAACTGCAATGTCTTCCAGTCTAAAATTTCCAAATGAGCGCCATCGTCTATTTATCGGCACAAAGACGACATGGCCAAGAGCGGTGTGTTGCTGGCACTCGGTTGGCTTCATCGCGCTGATTTGCCAACAACGACATTTCCTGTCCATCGTTTTTTTTCCCCCTCGACTATTTTCCAATTTGCATCAGATTGTGCAAGGCCGAGTGCGGCGATGGCATCAGTGCCACTACCTTGCATCGGTGGATGGTCACATCTCCACACCAAGAGATCTGTGCCCAGACAACAATGGATATCTACTGTAATTTATATGACTACATTAACCCACCCCTTCTGGTCTTCACACCTGATTGGCTCACAGCTACGACATTACATTTATTACCCCCACCTCTATTTAAGACCAAAACAGGAGGAGGATTTATCCACAACTCTGGCTGTCGCCCGATGATGCTGGTTGTTGTTGTAATTACTGGCGAAACGTCACGGTTCTCGTGAATTGTAATGTTGTAGTGGGTTTACTCTCCCAACACACAACTGGTGTGATGAACTAGTAACGAATTAGCCTGTTTGTTTACGTGAATAACCGGTTGTGTCTGGTGGTAGCGGGTTTAACGACATTCATATTTACGCGATCTTACCCGGCAAACCTCGATTATGGATAATATTGGTCTCGAAAGCCTACTACTACTATGTGTTAAACAGATTTGTACCCTGTAAGCCTGTCCACCTTGTGTTTGTGCTCACCACTAAGACAGGTCAGAGGATCAGGTCGTTAAATAAATAACATTTCCAACTTTTTATTTCGCAGACATTTTTACGAAAGTCAAATCTTCATTGGGGCCAGGTCACTTTTCAAAAGAGAACTAGATATCTCAGTGGGGCCTTACCAAGTAGAATAAAATAAAAAGTTTAAATAGTTTTAGTTGAGCACTGTGCAAGCTGCAACCACTCAGATCCTGGACTCACATCCAGGCAGCCGCACCCTCTGCTGAAACCAGGTTGTCAGGTGGAACCAGGTTGTGGGCTCTATCCAGTCGCCAATTAACCCTTTTCCCGTTCCAAGACATCTGCAAGTCGCAGGGCGTGGTGGTGTCTCGTTAATGGCTGAATCTCGGAACGCGTAAGCAGCTCTGTGTTAATTTTATTTAGAGAGCCGTCGTCGCACCATTGTTTTTAAAGACGTACCGCCGCACTCTACGATAGCCGGCGCCAAAACTGTGCCGCACACCTTCCCCCGCGTGGCCTTGTGGGAGCCTCGGTACTGATAAAGTTTTTTCATTTTTAGTTTTTCTTCCGGAATGGGAAAGGGTTAATAGACATACTAAAATATATATATATACACATCACGTGTACATAATCCATGGCCTGCCACATGACCTGACTGCCCTCCTCACAACTCCGCCAACCGCCAAGGCACTCAGGGCCTCCCTCACTCCTCAACTCGCCCGTTGTCCCCCTAACCTTAGATTGTCCTCTGTTTTGATGACGTTACACTCTGCACGGATGCGGGGCTCTCTCTCACTTCGCAAGTCGTGCGGGGCAGGGCCCAGGGAGCACGCTCCTCGTGCTCATGGCTGCAGAGGTTTGCAGTTCAAACCCGGCAGGATGCCCCGGTTACTACTACTGCGCACATGCGTGTGTGCATTACCCGTGCAACGCTACGTGCCGTCTGCTTTTGCAGTGGACTTGGCAGATCCCCCCAGGGTCAATCGAAAAAAGGGAGGCCTTTGTGTGCCGACGCCACGGTCAACATATGAAAAATTCTAAAAACGACACGCAAATTAATCTCACTTGGGTTCGCACGGAGAGCGACATCGCCCCCTGCTGTGAAATCGTCGCAGGACGCGTCCGTGATACGGCGCCTTCTTGCTCGCCTTGCGCAAAAAGAATGAAGCAAAATTAACAAGTGCGATAAATGGTCGTTGTAGTTTGTTGTTGCTGCTGTTGCTGAGGGTGTGTGGCTGGGCGGTGTTGCGGCTGATGTATTGTTTGCTCCAATCATCTCAGTCAGGCAACCCATGGTCACCCGGTTATGTTTCTGTGACCTGTCAGCGGCAGGCCTCTTAACGCTTCACGTACCCTCTAACGCTTCACAGCACTTCAAGTAGCCTCCATGGCACAAGCGCCATGGTGACGTTACCGCCATTGAGTGGTGAACGACAGTTGTCGTTGTCCCTGTTGTCGTTGTCTTCGTTGTTGTAGTTGTCATCGTTGTTGTCGTAGTCATTGTAGTCGTTATTGTTGTTGTTGTTGGCTACCCCGCAGGCGTTCTGGTGGAGGCGGAGTTCTACAACGTGGCGTCGCTAGTCTTGCTTGTGAAGGAGCAGATACGGGAGAGGAACAAGTTGGCCCAGGTACGTGGCTCATGCCCTTCCAGGGGCCTTAACGACTCCGAGGTCGGCGTGTTTGTAAACCCTCTCTCCCCTCCTGCTTCCTGCCCCTCTGCTCCCTGCCCCCCTCCCTCCTGCTCCCTGCCCCCCTCCCTCCTGCTCCCTCCCTTCCTCTTGCGCGTAGCCACAAGGCTCTGCTCGTTGTACGGCGTCCCTGCAGTCTCTCGGCAATTCGGGGGTCGAATTTGGTGAACTTGGAGCACGCGGTAGCCTCTTTGTTGCAAGTTGCCGTCTGGCGGCAGGGGGGGGGGAAGCGGACGGCAGCCACGTGCTTTACGTTTTAATACAACCATGGTAATCGATCAGGGTCGGCCCGCCGGATTGGAACCGCCAACTTCTGTGACGGGCCGTCTTATCGCCCGCCCCGTGGATTGTCGGCAGGATTCGAATCATGTCTTTTTTTTTTAACCGGTAAGTATGAAATGGGACCTTTTTGCCACTATCAAAGTATGAAAACATAGGAATAGGTTTTATCACGTATCAGATCATGGGGAACATTTGTGATCGATCGCGGATATGTCGGCGAGTTTGTCATCGCTCACTTTCCTGCATTGAGATCGGTGAAGCAATGGCAGCCACAGGAGGAAGCATGACGGGAGAAGCCCAACCCATTGCAGAGGGGTGGCACGGTGAGGTCGGCTCCTATGCAGGAGTGACGTGGGTTGTGGCAGGCAGAGCAAGAACACGAGTGCGATGACGTGCGGAGGGTTCATCCAGCAGTGGACAGATCACGGACGATCACGACGATGAACATTTTTTTGTTGCGGTTTTGGCGAGATAAATTACTCGCCGTTTTACTATTTGCGATTAATTATCGGCGCGCGCGTGTGTGGCTGCCAACGTACGAATAGTTTTGTGTGCGCGCGTGTTTATAGTGTCGTGGGCTATTGTAAGCAAACGTCTGCGTGGCTTCGTTTGGACGAGACCTCGTGGGAATTGTCTCGGTTTTTTTTCCTCGGCGCTGTGTTTAGAAAGGTGGAATCGTGGTGAACAGCAGCTTTTTCCTGTCAGGTGATGTTCTAGTGCATATGCGAGGGTTAAGACTACACTTGTGTTTACCAAACTTGTGTTTCCCAAATAAAATCAAGTTTGTGGCATATTCACGAGCCACAGATGAAAGGTGGTGTGGGTGGGTGGTTGGTGGGTGGGGAGGGAGGAAGGATGGTGACCAGATATTTGTGTGCAGTTTATCACCGTGTTGCTAAAAGTGGCTCTCCGCCTCTCCACGCCGACGAGGAGGAGGGGGGAGGGAGGGAATGTGGTACTCTCTCCCCCGTGTGCCCCATTTGAGGCTGTGCGACATTTCAAAACGTGTCGACCAAACGCCACGGGAGGGGGGGTGCATTGCAGTCGGTGCCCGCGGGGGAGCTGAGGATTTGGAGTCGCTGTCGCCATCAATCCGACTTTGTTTATTGCTCACTAAATATACCTTCTTAGATGAAGAAGAAGAAAGAACACGGATATCACTCGCTGCCTTCTCGCCCCGAGGGGGGAGTACATTCGCTCGCCTGCGTTTATCCGTAAACGCTTCTCCCCCCAGGGCCGCGGTTTAAGAACCTCGCAGTTGGACGCAGACACGGCAAGAGTTGTTCAGACTCCATTTAAAGTAGCTTTCCGATTTCACCGGAAAGGGAAACAACATTTAGGGTGTCAGCACATGGCCCTTCCATGTTCACCTTTACCACGAGCCTCTGTGCTGCTTTCTTTTATAATGGCTACCCGCTCCCAAATTTTTGTCAATTAGAAATACAGTTACACCGGTGCGATGTCTATTCGAGCAAAGGCTATGTGATTGACTATTGTTCACCGTACTTTTAGTGACGGGGGCAACAATCTGATCCCGCATGCTATTGGTGTCCGTGGTTATTGGAACGCTGCGGTGGCGAGATATTAACTACCTCACCTGGTATACGGGAGGTCGTGGGTTCGATCCCGACCCTGATGCCTGCTGTGTATTTGGAGTTGGCGTGTCTCTCTCTCTCTCCCCGTAGTCACGTGGATTTTTCTCCGGGTCCTCCGGTTTTTCCCTCCCCATTTAGAATCAACATCATGCATTTAGAATCAACATCACACATTTAAAGTATTTGGCTGCTATACATTTCCACGTGACAATCCGCTTCGTTGAGCTGTATAGCTCAGTGGGCCTGACCTGGTAAAATAAAAAATTGTTTAGCTTGATTGGGGGAAGCCATCGTGGCGTACACGTCGGGTTTCCAGTAGAAGCAAAGGTCCGGCTGAGCGGGTGACGTTGGTGCTGTGAGCCACGTTCCGTGGTTATTATTTTGCGTGGTCAGGGTGAGAGACCTCCAGAGAGCCAGGCGAGTGCAATCGTGGGGAAGAGCGGCAGAGAAATCAAGTGTTGTACGGTCTTATTTGTTCTCCTACAGCACAGCGCGGTGGTCGTTGCGTTCCCATGAAGAATACCGCGTTGTGGAAAAGCCGCGTTATGCCAGCAATCGTTGATTCAGTGGGACTTGAGCGGTTGAGGGGGTAGTAGTTACGAAAACACCAACACGACTGACATTTTTCATGATAATTAGTGATTGTACCGTAGATTTTTTTACGTATTCTTTTATAATTACTGTGTTTTAGCTTGATAATATAATTCGTGAATTAAATAAAAACATGACAATGAGTGAAAAATGCATGTTACAGTGTTAGTCGCGAAGGCACCAAATAAAAATCGACAAAGCTAGACAAGTAACACTGAACAATGAAAAATAGATTGGTTGTGATTATAGCAGCACTACCATGTAAATAGGTGGGGTTGCGTCAAGTCAAACACAACTGCGAGTCGATTTCTAGCGAGTCAACAGTTTGGCATCGTCAAACTGTGACTCAGACGGGAGGGGAAGCAGCATGGGACTCGCAGTGTGGGGGCGATGGGCGTCCACGTGCTTGGGGCATTTACAGATTGACAAGCGGCGTGGGCTCGAGTCCCACGTCCCCTGTATGTAAGTACGTGTGTGTGTGTCTTTGGGTCTCGATTTTAGTAGTCTATGGGTCTCTGTGTGAGTCTCTCTGTGAGTATGGGTCTCTGTGTGAATCTATGGGTCTCTGTGTGAGTCTGGGTCTCGATATGAGTCGTCTATGGGTTTCTGTGTGAGTATGCCTCTGTGTGAGTCTACGGGTCTCGATATGAGTAGTATATGGGTCTTTGATACGAGTCGTATAGGGGTGTGTCTGTGGGTCTGTGTGAGTCTATGGGTCTCGATATGAGTCGTCTATGGGTCTTGATACGAGTAGTCTCGGGGTGAGCCGTTGGGTCTCCGTGTGAGTCTTTGTATGTAAACTGTTTGTTGAACTTCTTTCGCACCGCCATACATAGCCCAACCATGCTAATTAGGGTTGCGGGGCGAAGGACAGAACAAACTATGGGTCTCGGTTTGAGTTCTATGTGACTGTGCAAGTCTGTGTCTCAGTCTGAGTAGTCTATGTGATTGTGAGTCTGTGTGTGAGTGTAATCGGAGGTGCGGGCGAAGGACAGCGCCAAGTGAACGTACGACGCGCTCCCCCCGCCCCGTGTCCGCGTGCCGCCCCAGGGCTGCGTGAAGCACATCTACCGCGTGCTGCAGTGCAAGGAGGAGGAGCTCACGCAGATGGTCTCCACCATGTCAGACGGCTGGAAGTTTGAGCAGGTGAGAGACGACGACACCCCCCAGTAGAGCAACCTCGGGGTTTGTACACGTGTGTATGTTGAACTCCTTTTATTTTTTATGTATTATGTAGAACTTATTGTGTATGTATGTAGAACTTTTGCATACATGTGTGTACAACTTCTTGTGTATATATGTATCTAGAACTTATTGTGCATGTATGTACAGCTTATTGTGTATACATGTATGTAGAACTTCTTGTGTATGTGTGTAGAACTTTTGTGTGTGTGTATTTATGTGTGTGTGTATGTAGAACGTCTTATGTATGTATGTGGAACTTCTTTTGTTCGCAGAGGTTTGGGTTCGGATCCGGCGGTGTGGTGCGTGCCCCTGGTTTTACTACTGCCGAGGGCGCGCGTCGCCCTTCCAAATACGCGGTGGACGTATATAGATTTCCCCCCACCTCCCTTCTGGAACGTCCTTTTGCAAGAGTTAGGCCCATTGGTGCCAGCGTCATGGTCGTGAAGTTGCCAATTATTTTTTAAAAAATTACCTGGTGTAAGGACCCATTGAGCTGTGTAGCTCTTTTTCAGACGTGACCTGGCCATCACAAATGATAGCTCAATGAGGCTTATCCCGTGGACATGTATTGCAGCAAAATAACTCTCAACGGTCTCTTTGGTTCTTTCGGTAAAGTCACGTAGATGAAAAATAAAAATAATAATACATTTTTTAATTAAAATTTATTTTCATCTACATGACTTTACCGAAAGAACCAAAGAGTATGGATCCTTGCAATCATGAAAACTTCAAATCTAGAATTAACTCTAAACGTGTGACGTCGATTCTAAACATGGAGGGGAAAAACCGGAGGACCTGGAAAAAAATCCACTCGACCATGGGGAGAAAGAGAGAGAGAGCCATGCAAACTCTAAATATACAGCAGGCGAACCTCCGACCTCCTACATACCAGGCGGGGGAGTTAACATCTCCAAGCTAGAGCGGCGCCCCTTTGTTGGAGTTACGCGCACACAGCAACATCGCCACCGCTCCGGTGAAAACCGCTGCAGGGCCGCGTCTCCCAAACGCAGCCCCTTCCCCCCCCTCTTAGTGCCGCGCGCTTGGAAGAATGTCACGGCTTGCCCCAAACGCGCTCGATTGTCACAGCTTAACGTCACACACACACACATCTTCTTATCCGTAACCGCGCCCTCGTTGCAGCTCATCAGCATCGGGGCGCCGTATGGCTACGGTAGCAGCCAGCAAGCCGAGTTCCTGCTCATCGTGTCCCGCGAGGTCAAGTGGGAGGACAGTGGCCCCCAGTACAGCACACCGAGCAGCGAGGTGAGGCTGGTGTGTATCTCCCGGTCCGTCGTCTCCCGGTCCATCGTCTCCCGGTCCGTCGTCAGCCAGTTCGACAAGGCACTCGCTCTGTTTCCCTAGTCCACGGCCCCTTCGTCCTCAATTCCGAACAACCTTTCACTGCTGCTGCACCAAGCGGGGGTTCTGGCTGGAGCCTGCTGTTGCTCTCTCATCTGGGGCGGAGCGCAGCGTGAAGCAGTCCGGCCGATTGATGATCCAGGGCTCGCTCAGTCGCTCACTGGCGGCCAGTCGCCTGCTCATCGCTCTTCTATCGCTGCCGCCGTGGTTACTATCCCAGTGAACTTTGCTCGTTGATTGCTCCACCATTGTGTCGGGGACTTTGGGTCGACCGGACATCGACCGTTTGGTCTCTCATCCGCCACACTGAGTTCAATCACAGCCACTCTGCAGGTCGCATCACTTCTCTTACTGGCTTCGCACCGCTCCCCTTGCCTGCGAACGAGACGGGAAAACCAATGCAAGTTAGCCGTTAAAAATGAGAGATGTTACGAACGCGAAGCTGTGAGAAATCAAGAATCGCCTTCACTAACCTACTTCTGTTCCTCCCTTAAAACAACCTCCATCTCTTCTCCTCTAGCCCAGCATCATCATCCTACTCCCTACCCCCGAGCTACGACCAGGCCTACCCCAACCCCTATCACTACCTCTATTACTACCCCTACTCCAATCACTACCCCTACTCCAATCACTACCCCCATCCTAACTCCTATCACTACCCCATCCCTCATTAACCTCTCCCGCCTGTCCTAACCGTCACCACAGCTACACCGCCACGTTTAATAACGACCCCCACTCTATATCTCAACCACCATCATCTTGCGTACAATTTTACAATTGTTGTAAAGCCCCTCGGCACGAGAGTCAGAGACACCTGCGCGGGAATCTCGTCCCTGGGGCTGTAACGGCGCCAGGCATGGCGGCAGTGGAACGCAGGTGGCAGTTGGGGTGGGGGGGGAAGGCGGCCGAGGGGGCCTGAGTGACCCCCCCTCCAGCCTGCCCCACTTGTGGGGGAGAAGATTGCATTGCGTTAGGGTTGAGAGGGTTCAAGTTAAATTTCGATTTAAAGCTTTCGTGACTGCAGGGATTCATATTCTTGGTTCTTTCGGTAAAGTCACGTAGAAGGGAAATAATAAAGTAATAAAAGAACCAAATATATATAAAAACATTTATTATTTTAGTATTTCCCTTCTACGTGACTTTACCGAAAGAACCAAGAATATGAAGAGGGTTCAAGTTGATGTTGTCTTTTAACCCAGGTGAGAACGTAAGGCTATGTGGAGTAGAAGAGGAGGAGTCTCATTTGCAAGGGCGACGTGGGTTCCGGAAATGACAAAACGGCATATAGCGCGGCCGAGTTACAATGGTGACGCAATCAGCAAGCATGGCAAAACACCGAGCGTGCCGTAGAAGGAGTTGTGAAAACGGCAACACACGAAATGCCGTCAAAATATAAGGAGTAAGATACGTTCCGCGAAAATGTTGCTCGGTAAGCGAAAACCACCTCAAACAATCGTCGTTCTCCCATTGACTCACTCCTTGAGCGATGTTTCAGCCCCACAAATGTCCCACTCTTGAAGAACATTTTGTTTTTTAACGGGAGAAATACAAATTGGAATAAAGTAATAAAAATCAAATGTTAACACCTACCACACGCACGAAAAACCCCCAGTGTTAGCAGCAATTATCTAGCGTCGCCACCCACCCATTACAGTCCCCGCCACCCCCACATGATGAAACACACGGGCAAAGAGCACAGGATATTCATTCATTCGTCACGCACAGTCGGCGAAGGTCCGTTTGCGCCAAACGTGTGACCTCTTGCGACCAGTGTTCGCGTCAACCGCTCTGTTCCCGGACGCTGGCCGTGTCTCAAACGATTTGTTTGATCCACGGATCAGGGGGTGCCGAGGGGTGGTTGGGGGGGCGGGCGCGGGAGGGTGGTTGGAGGGGCCGGGTGCGGGGGGGGGGGTGCTTGGGGGGGTGTGCTGGCAACCCACCCCCTCGTGTGCCGTGCTGGCTTTCATAGGTGCCGCCCGCAAACAGCACTTACCACAAAGTCTATCATAGGATACCTCGGCAGCATCGCCCCTGACTGCGAAAGCTTGGCAGGATCCTCGTAGAAAATAAGAGTTGAGACTCGACGAGGCCCTACTGGGCACACGAGCGGAATAACAAAGTGGCGCTGTGCTGCTGCTGTGTTGTGGTGTCCGCACAGATGCTGCTGGAGCGCGGCTCGCGGAGGCTGTGAGTCCCGAGTCGCGCCACGCCCGCCGCTCCGTGGCGGAGCCGTCCCCGGGCACGTACAGCTCGTGGCCAGTTCTGCCTCCCGACCGCAAGGCACGCACCAGAGGGAGGCGCCCCCATCGCTCACTTCCCCCCCTCTACCGCACAAGTCGTATCTTCTATCTGGGGTCTTGGTTTTTTTCACCACGCGCACGCACGCACACACGCGCGCACGCGCGAGTACAATGTTTGTTTCCCGTCGTCGAATTCCCGCGTCACGAAATGCATACGCCAGTAGCTTCTGCCCGGTGATGCGCACGCGGCTCTCGGTAGCGCTTTTGGCGGCGGTGTGATGCGAGCGCTGCATGGGGGGGGGGGGTTTGCATGACTGTGGAGCCGGCGGATCTTCCCCCCTGTGATCGTAATTTTGCTCTTGCAGTAGATTGAGATGGTGAAGGACCTCGGCAACCTCCTCGCACGCCCGGCTAGAGGGAAGTTTATTTTCTCCGTTATTCTCCACCCGTTCACTGCCTTAGCAAAAAAAAATAATTTTTTACTGGGAGCCGAGTGTTTAAATTGTTGAAGCGCGTTTATATTCGTTGAAAAGGCTTTTTTATTTTTGTTGCAACTGTAAAGAAGCCTCCGTATGAAACTTTTTGTAATGCTCTGCTTCGGAAGCAAAAATATGCAATGTGTACCAGGCGGCCCCCAAACGCTCTCACTCCGCGGCCGATTTCCCTACGCTGGAATCACGGTTGGTTCGCGAATCTGCCCGCCCGCCGAACGTTGTTTCTGCAACGACGACGACAACATCAAAAAGAACGGAAACAAAGGAATCAAAACAACAAGCAGAAGACTGCAGAAGACTGTTAATTTTTGGTGAGCAGCAGTGCCATATATATATATATATGCTCGCGATTTTGTGGGCGCACCTTTTGAACTCTGGTGTTTGTGTATTCAACTCGCATGCACCGATTCTGCTCGCTCCTAGGTGCTGCTGTGTGTCTGCACAATGGTGTTTTGAAGTTATCTCGGTCGGCAGAACACAATACCACCACCCCCTTTCCTGTACATAGAGGGACTTATCGCGTCATTTTCCCGGCACATATTCCCGTCGAGATGGCGCGCAGGCTAATTAATTCTGATCTGAGGGAAAACAAAGGGCTGATGTCTGCAGCAGAAAGTATGCAAATGAGGTAATGTACAGAGGCGCTTTTAGGAAATTTAAAAAGCAGTGTGGGAAAAATTGCTGCTTGTTCATCATCGTCATCGTTAAGCACTTACCACGAAAACGTGTAAACTACTCTCGTGTCATCTTTTTTCTCGGGATCGCGTCTCGCGAAGTTGCCCGTTCCTCGTGCGTCCGTTGCACCGGTGTGACATTTGTGGAGTAAAAACTTCTTCATCATCTGTCTGGCTTCGCTGCTGCCGTTGTAGATCAATCGCCACCCCCGTCCTGTGCGCGCGAGCTGGTTGTGTTCTAGACCGCCAGGGGCATCTGGCAACCGGGGTGACAACGTCCGGGCTGGGCTGGGCCCTCAACGTCTTTGAGTTTGCGGCCTCCCGTTGGGATTCTGTTCACTCGGCCACACCGAGGTATCGAGCCACGGAGCTGTTGTGCGCCCGGCACCTCTATGCAGAGCGCTCGTTGCTCAGAGCAGCTCTCGCTCTCTGCTCTCACTCGCCACGGCAGCGTGGGGTTGAGTGGGGGCGGCTGTGGATGCCGTGCCTTCCCTTGTGAGCCCACGCCACACAGCCACACAACAAAGTCCCGACAGCCCGTTTGTATCCGACTCAAAAAGTGCTCAGGAACCGATTTTTTTTTTACGTTTTGACGCAAGGCTTTGAGGAGTTTGAAACGGCTTAACCGGGTAGACTCCATCTGCCGCCATCTGAAATTGTTTTGAGGGCTACGAAAGCGATGGGTTGTGAGTGAGGGGGGCGGTGTGTGTGGGGGGGGGTGCCGATATTGACTCGCCGTGGACCTGTTCACCGACCTGTGTGGGGGGGATGTGTGTGGGGCGCGGTTGTGTAGCTGTTAGTGCGCTGCACTACGAACCTGGCGAACCGAGTTTGATTCCCGCTCACGGCCAACGCCAGTGACGATGATCTGAACCGGTCCTTGGCCTCCCCTAGGTCGACTCAGCCTCAAATGAGTACCTGGTGCGGTGTGTAACCATCGCCACTGGGGAGACAAAGGCAGCCGGGCGTGGTGCTGGCCACGCACCCCCTTGTGTGCCTTGTCTGCCTTTCTAGGTGCTCGCTAACAGCACTTGCCCCTACAGTCTGTTATGGCTACACGGGGGATATTTGTCTTTGGGGTGTGTTTGGGGGGGTGTGTGTGGGGTGTGTGTGCTGGGTGCCTTGCAGCTTCCCCTCCACCGCCTTCCTGTTTGTGTCATCCGAGTCGTGCCTTTTCCTTGTCACCTTATTGTTGTTTTTGTTGTGACCGTGCAGAGAAGTGGCGGCAGTCTGGTCGTTTGTTCCTGGGCTTGGGTTTGTTTCGAAAGTCTTCGGCTTCGTTTGTTTTGAATTTTAGCGACGGCTGGAACTGGAGAGTGATCAGTGTTGATGTGCGTGGATCTGATGGAAATTATATTGCAGAGGAAAAAGTGTGGTGCTGGTGGTGGTGGTGATGGCGGTTGTGGTGGGGTAAAAGAGCGATGGAACCAACACTCGTCACCTTCATGTGGACAGTGCTACCTGTAATATAACCCGCTCTCCTCCGCCACCTCCCCGATGGTTACAAATCTCCAGAAACGGGCGCTGCGGAAGTTCAGCGGAGCAATTGGGCCCGGGCTCTTGTCGGATCCACCCGACGCAGCACGGCGCGCCACCGGGTACCGCGCGACGTTCCGGCAGCACCACCACGTGTCGTGCGGCGACTGCTTACAAAGAGGCGGCGCTCCGTCAATTGCCGAGCCCGCCCAGCTGTGTTTGGGCGGCTTCCGATGGGGAACCGTGCCAAGAATGAAAAAGCCTCGACTTGGCTCAGCAGTCAGCCCGTGGCTTAGTACAGAACCATCCGTGTAGACTTTAAAGAGTGATCGCGCCATCATTTATACAGCCCCGGTAACATGAACCTCGATCATGTAATTTAATGCAAGTGCAGTGAGAGCTTAGACGTGTTTCGCTTTTACTATTAGTCAGTGTGGTGTGCTTTTGCCGGATTGTTATTGGGCCATGAAATGTGTGATTATCTTTTCCAGTTTCAGTTCTTCTGCTATGGGGGGGGAGCGGCTTGCGTTCGTGTGGGAGAGCGTCGTGTCTCTGAGGGCGCGTCAAGGGGGTCAGGGAGGGCATTGCACTCACGGCGACGGGCAGCGGAATAACACGGTGCGGAGAGCGAGGGAGTAACGCCAGAGACGCTGTGCGGGCCCCCATTGGCAGCCTTGTGTGATGTTGAACTTCTTTTGCGTAGCACGTCACCAACCGTGCTCGGAACGCGAAGTCAACAAAGCGCCGCTCTTTCACGGCAAATCAAATTCGCATGTACCCTCTGAACGTGAGCTTCGTTCTGCAGTGTGCGCGTGAAGGTCAAATCTAGTTACATTTCTTTCACTAGATACTTTTTTACCCACTCCGAATTTGACAATGAAAGCACTTATAAATGTTTCAATAATAATGATGATGGTGATATGCATGTTGTCGCATCAAGCCTTTCCATGGCTATAGAGGAAAAACTGCTGTAACACGTACTCGGTTGTGAGCGTTGTCCCCACCACCGACAAAGACAAAGATCCCTCGTATAGCCTTTGAACAAACTGTTGGGGAAAGTGCTGTTAGCGAGCAGCAGCTATGAAGGCCGGAACAGCACACGAGGGGGTGGGTGGCCAGCACCACGCCCGGCCACCTTTTGTCTACCCAGTGGCGATGTTTACACGTCGCACCAGGGAGGTACACATGAGACGCTGAGTCGACCTAGGGGAAGCCCAGGACCGGTTCAGGTAATCGTCACCGATGTCCCTGAGCGGGAATTGAACTCTGATCGCCTGGTTCACAGCGTGGCGCGCTAACTGCTGCACCACCGCTCCCCGCCGACAGAACCCGGCGTCGCATCTACGATGCACGCCTCTTCGCGTCTTAGAACGATGATGCAAAACTTGCAAAACTCGCGTGGCGTTAAGAAACACGAACGGTTATATCTCTTGGACGTGAAGGTCGCTCGTCGCACGGTGCTAGATTGCGGGGCCCACTTGAACATTCGCCATGCTGATATCAACACTGTTTTTTTCGGTAAAGTCACTATCTACGTGACTTTACTGAAAATACCAGAGTGTATGGATTCCTGCAGTCACGAAAGCTTCAAATCAAGACTGATATCAACAATTCATTATTACGGGGAGGGGAAAATCTTTAATTGATTTCCGCCATTTGTAGAGTTGGTCAACCTTTATCAACATGCTTCGGTATGTGTGTGTATAGGGAATGTGTATTTGATGCCATGCTGTGGAAAATATTCTCCAACAGAGCAGTTTTGTTTGCTGGGACAGCAACCTGAAACGTTTGTGGTCTGCTCTGCCGTTCGTGTCCACCCTGAGGGAGTGAGGGTTTGAGAGAGGGGCCCATACTGCCCATCAGTCCAGCCCTGTCTGGTGTCCCTCTATAGCAGCCCGGCTGACTCTTGTGACCATGCCCTCTCAGGAGTGTGGGGCGCCTCTGTTCTGTGCTTTCTCTGCCTGTTCAGTTCTAGGAAGTCGACAATGGGTCCGCATTTTGGCAAAGTTTTTAATTCGTAAAATAAAGCATTGTACCTTATAATAGTTTGTACTATTTTAAAACATTAACGTCAAATTATTATTAGGATTGGCCTGTGTAAACAACGTCCGTTCAATTCCCCGCAGTTCACAATTATCTGGACCGCAAGCAAAATCGACGATTTATGCATTTAACTAAAACTAAAAACATCTAAAACTATATTTTTTTTACCAGGTAAGGCCCACACTACCACGCAAAAGAGAACATGCAGACGCCAAATAATACAGCAGGCGTCAGGGTTAAGATCGAATGTACGACCTGTATGCCAGGCAAAGTAGTTGACATCTCCTAGCCACTCACTTGGGCAAAAATGTGAAGTTAGCTGACGCGGCAAGGAGGGACTTGGTGGTAACGGGAACTCTGTGGTAACGGGGTCTCGGTGGTAACGGGGTCTCAGCGGTAACGGGGACTCGGGCCCCTGTGGAGAGGTGTCGGGTCCCCTCTCTCGGGACACATCCCGTCGATGGCTTTGTCGGCCGGGCTTCGTCTCCGCGACTCGCAGGGTGGTGGCGCCCTCCTGTGGCCAAATAATTGCACCCAAGAACCCAACTGGAGCCACCGACGATGGGTGGCGGCGGCGGCAGTATTCACGAAAGCAACTCGGATCTCCGCTCGCTTTGTACGGAGCGCCGTTCTCTCACGAGCGCCGAGAAAGGCGCGACCACTCGGACAAGGCCAAACCCCCCTCGCGCGTCGCCGAAGGACGCGGCATTAAAAACATCACTGCGGGAATCGAACGAGTCTCCATGCGTCCTGATCGTGTCACGGAATGCAGCGGGGCTCGCCCCTGCGACTCCATTAACTCCACGGGATTCCAACATTGATGAATCCTATAAGAATAGGTTTTAGGAAGATGTTAAAACACCAAACAGAAATCTCTTGCAAGGGATCCTGCCTTATTGCCAGAAAGGATTAAAACCTATTCTCATATGTTGATACTGGCAAGAAAGGTCCCATTGATTAATCCTGCAGGACGTGAAAAAGATGTCATGTTTTTTTGTTAAATTTGAACGTTAGTGTGCTCCGTGTAACAAATGAGACGATGCAGAATCCGAGTCGTCCAAGGAGAACCGTCACTTTATCCGGGCCGCCTGGCGAGTGCGCAACAGCCCTCGTGCGTCGTTACATCGGTCGCGCCACCTTCCAGCAATGGCTCCGAAGACGGCCACGCGTTGTCGTGCCAATAACTCAATAACTCTGTCTCCCACAATGCCCCATGGATCACATCGTTGGATGTAAATGGGGGGTGGGGGAGTGCAGTCAGATTTTAAATCTGACCGAGGTTGAAATCCAGTTGGCTTGCAGCAGCATCAGCTGTTTATTGGGAGAATATTCACCGCATGGCTATCTGCATACAGCCACGAATCATGTTACGCACACTCCCTTAACCACGTTACATACGTATTGACTTTGCCCATGCATGTGTGCAGGCATGTGTGTACGCATGTGTGGCCGTATTCGTGTATACTCTTAACCGAACGATGTGAACTACGTATTGCATTGTTGTTGTTAACAAAGCATGTATTACCAAACTAAGGCACATTGTATACGTGTGTATATATTCGACAAAAAAAAACTTAAACCGGCTAAAAACCAAGTTCATCACTTTATCAATGGCCCGCGGAGGGTGCTGCCGGAACGTCGCGCCCTGGGTTTGCAGGAGGCTCGCGGTTCGACTCCGGCAGGACATCATCTCGACCCTGGTTCATACTTGCCGGCGGTGGTGGGGGGTTATTCACCGATAAAACCCACCCTGTCTGCTTCGGAGCGGACGTTAATCAAGAAAAAAGTCCCACGACGTCGTTCGAAAAGAGGCAAATCCGTTTGTCGTGTGTGGCTGGTGTTGTGGTCCAGATAAAAAATATATATACACCGCAAGATTATTACTATTATTATTTAGTATGGCGTGCTCTTACCGGATTGTTATTGGAAATGTGTGATTTTTTTTCTTTCAATTTGAGTTCTTCCGCTATGGGGTGGGGGGAGCGGCTTGCATTCGCGTGGGAAAGCGTCGTGTCTCTGATGGCGGGGGGGGGGGGCATTGCACTCACGGCGACGGGCAGCGGAATAACACGGTGCGGCGAGAGAGTCCGTAACGCCAGAGACGCCCTGCCTTGTGTGATGTTGAACTTCTTTCGCGCCGTACGTAGCCAACCGCACTAATCGGAAGTGCGGGGT